GCTCCCCTTGAGTTGGGGCACAGGGGAGAGTGAGTTACAACCTCCCCCCGGACCAAAGGGTGAGCACCCACCTCCCTCTCCCTGTCTGCCTCACTGTGCTTCTTCCAGCGCCTCCTATAACGCTAGCTCCAAGCAGTACATACTTGAAAACAGTGCAAAGCTTTCTGCTACCTGTGTGCATCTTCCTCGAGGACAGCGATGAGGAAGAGCAGCCCATCCGTGACCCAAGCCAGGGACATTGTTTAGTGCAGGTCCAGGAAGTGCTAAAATCCAGTAGCAATTTCAAATGCAAGAAGGAAAAAAGTACAGAAAAAAGGAGTATAACCAGATGAAAATGATGCTCACTTTGTGACTACAGAACTGAGGGCACTTGCTCAGGGCTATAATGAGTCATAGTAAGCATTGTAGGAGGGAAGCAATTTCCCAAAAGTATTTAATTTCTGAAATGAATGTAACTTTGAGAACCAAAATGATATTTTTTTCCTCCCAGGCAGTTACCCAACACGCTGCTTTTGCTTAGCACTTCAGGAAGATGTTAGAAAGAGACCAGGGTAAAATTAACCGTGTTTTTGCAGAGATAATGAAGTTACCAGCATTTACTAGATTAAGATAAAATAACAACAAAGCCCACCTGATTCTGGTGTGAGTAGTGTTTGGAAGAGCAATTGCGTTTAAGGCAAATGTCAGCTTAAACAGAAACCTTGTGAGGATGAAAATGACTCAGAGAGAGTGACGCACAGAGTATAAGTTTGGGAAGAACTGAGCTTGTGCATGAGAAGAAAATGCATGACCTTCTCCTGACAGCCACGTATGAATTAATAGGGACTGTTGGCAAATTCATAACAGTAGGAATAAGGGCCAACAGCAGGTGAGTGAGAGATGTCAGGAAATGTTATTGCCATGTGTATGAACTAGGAAGGTAACATTACAAATGGTTGTGATAAATAATGTGATTAAAAATATAGAATGCCTTTTTCTTCCGGCTTCACCATCTTTTAGCAAGTAGTGCTGGATTACTTGTGGGATTAGGGAAAGGAAGAGGAGGGGATTGTTAAACAAGAAGGAGAAGGTGTTAGAAGGAATACAAAGACACCTGAAGCTAAGCAGAGTTTGCTCTTAATAAGCTTGAAGGCCAACAAGCAAAATGTGTTTGAATTGTAGCTGGGTCAGCAGGAACCAAGGTCTGCCCTTGTTTACACTTTGGTAGCCCTAGCTTGGCTCTGTGCTGGTTTTGTCCTGGTGCATCACTCAATTCAGGTAGAACCTGGTAGGTCTGAAGTTAATTTGTACTCAACTCAAAGCACCTTATCAGCAGGGCAGGACATGGGGTGGTACCTGCCCTGGAGCAGGGGTGGCCAAGCTGCAGAGCTCCACTGGCTGCTGTAGGAGCCACATCCTCTGAGCATCTGAATGCTGGACAAGCTGCTGGGAGTCATGGTGTGCTCCCCTGGCACAGCCCTGGCATGGGGCAGGTGGATGTCACCCTGAACCACTCCTGAGTTTATTCCCTCTTGCTCTGAGGTATGTGGTGTGTGTTGCAGGGGTCTTGGCTGGGTGGGAGCTGCCTACGTGGCTTGTATGGGTGCAGAGATGGGCTCTTGGCAGTGTGCAGTGCACCTCTGCTGGCTTTGGTCAGGCTTGGTTGTGTCTTGGTTGTGGTGAGTGGCAGAGGGGCCCTGCTGCCCTGCAGCTTGAATTTTCTGTGTTCAGTCTGGAACTGATGGCACTGTGGAGCTGTATATAAAGCTGCCTATGAGTCAGACCTGGACTCGGTCCGGGTTTGCCTTCCCACTGCTGCTCCACTCCCTGCTCTCACACCTGGAGTCCTGCTGCTCCCAGGAGATGCTCTTGTGCCTTTCCTCAGCTGTCCTTTGCCAGCAATGGGAACCCGTGTCCTCCCCTGCTCTGCAGCTGGAACATCTTTACACTTCAGGGCTTTGGGATAGCAAAAAGGAGGTCCCCTTGGAACAAAGGTCACAATTGAGCGCCCACTTTCAGTGTCTAGGTCAAACACAGTACCTTAGTGCTGGTACTCACTGCGGAGAAGCTCTCATAACTAAGCAGGATAGAAAGCAACAGAGCTCCCTGTTCACAGCAACTTACTTTCTCCATAAGCCTGGGGAGAGGGCAGGGAAAGCTCCAGCTGTTCAGGCCTTTCCATCCTGGGTTAATTTTGCTTGGTGTGCAGATGAAACCATGGAATATCTCTGCTAGGAACAGTCGTGCTGATGCCACTGAATTTGTGTGTGTGGTTCAATGGAGCAGCTTCTGTTCTCTCTCTGGTCTGAGGGTGGTGGTCCCGATTAAAGCTCTGTCAGGAGGAGAGGAAGATGGCCCTCAAGCTGGGTAAAAGCCCAGAAGGGGCTTGAGAGCTGGGGTTGTGCTTGGTCCTGGCAAACCCACTGCACTGACCTGTTTGTGTCTTGGATCCAGAGCCCGGGGCTGAAACCAGCCACCCTTAGCCTGTTTAACTGTTCGAGTCTCTGAGCCCCGAGAGAAACTGGTGGAGCGGAGCTGGTGCAATACTCCAAAGGTTTCCTTAATGGGATCAGTGCTTCTTCTCAGCTCTGCCATTTACACCGCTTCACCTGATTGCAGCACAGGCTGTCCCACCCCGAGGACTTGCCAGGATAACGCCTGCTTGGCACCAACCGCTAGAAATCCAGAGCAGGGTTTCCAGCCTGGTCACGGACTGCTGTAGATGCAGGTGGGTTCTGATGTTGGACAGTGGGGTCCCATCTCGGTCCCTGCACACAAGCTGGAGGTTAGGCTGGGCCTTCAGCAGCTTTTGAGGCTGCTGAGATCCTCCTGCAGAAGATGCTGTTCGTGTGGCGAGTGAGGTGCTCCCTGATGAGAGCCTAAAGCCTGTGGTGTCTTCCCTAAACTGATTCATTTTGAGCTTGCCTTGCTTGACTGCTTCGAGATCAACCTGGAGGAGGTGGCTCCAGCCCTTGCCTCCCCTCTGCAATCCTTCCTTCTCAGCCAGACTCAGCATGGCTGTTCCCCTTCCCGGAGGGGAGGTTTGGGAAGCCCCACTCTTCTGGCTCTGCCCCACTCTCTCCCACCATCCTCATGGCACAAACTGGACCCTGTCACTGTGCTACAGCGCAGGCTCAGCCCCACTGTTCCAGGGGAGTTTCCAGATGCGAAATGGCAAATTTAAATATTGCAATTACAAACGTGTAACGAAGCCTTGTACTTCATTAATGTCAGAGGAGGAATCTGCTACGGCTACAAGGACAATTAAATATTAGAGAACGTCTTTGATTCACATTCCTGCTGTGTAAATGGGAGGAAGGTTGCTGTATGCTCCTTGCCTTTGCGCTCACAAAATGAAAAGCACACCCACTGCAAGTTGTCCTTTGATAGATTTTTAATATGATTTTAAAGAGTTTTGTTTGGCCTCATTCTTATTCAATGAGATTAATTTAAAACACTTATCCCCTGGGTTTAAGTCAATCCATGTAGGATTTGGGACGGGGGTTTGTTGCCCGGGGAGGGGGGTTGTTTGCAGGCCTCTCTGAAAGACTCCTTTCCCACTTCATTAACCCCGAGCTGGGAGCGACCCCCCCTCCCCTTCCTCCTCCTCCTCCTCGCCCCAGCCGAGGCCCGAGGATTTACCAAACTCCCCCATTCACATGCAAAGGATCAGCGCGGTCCACAAAGGCCGGGGGCTCTCCCCTCCAGGCGTGGCTGTGCATTTGGCCGAGCCGACAATGACCCTCCCGGCGGGACCGGGGCTACCGGCGTGGGGGGAACCGGGGCAGAGCTCCCGGGACGGGGCCGTCGGGCTGGCACCCGGCCCCGGGGAGGGGGATCCTTGGGGTCGGAGGCGGGGGGGGGGGGGGGCGCAGACAGCCGGGCCGCCGGCTGCAGAGGGCCGGGGGGACCCCGCCGCCCATCTGCCGGCGCCCCGGGACGCGAGCCGCTGCCCGGCTGTCCCGGGGACCAGCTGCCGGGCCCGCTGGCCGCGGCCGGGTGAGCGACACTTTTAAAGGGTGGAAACAATCCATTTTCCAAAGCGATCGTTTAAAGCACTTAGGCAATTATACACTGAACATTAGCGTTAGTAATGCACCGCCGCAGCGGCTGCCGCCGCGCCGGGCAGCATCAACCCCGTCCTTCTCCTTCTCCCCGCTGCCCCCCAGCTCCGCATGCCGGCACTGGGGCCGGGCCCCGGGGAGCGGGACACAAGCCGCGGAGGGGATGCTCCCCGTGACGGGAGGTGGGAAAACTCCTCTTTGCTTTTCCCTTTCCCCCGGCGGCCGCTGCTCCGCCAGAGCAAACAAGCGGGAGGGGAAGAAAGGGCCGCGGAGCCGAAACCCGTTTGTTTGTAAAGAAGTTTTATTTCCACATTTAAAAAAGGAGGGGGGAGCGGGAGCGGCGCCCCGGGACCCCCCCCCCCGCCCCGGCCGGGCCGGCCCCGGGATACAGACTGACAAGAATCACTTACACAAATACGCCCTCGGGGTTCACAAATAAATAATTCATGTACATTTTGCGCAGTTTATTTACATTTTGCCGCTTTCCCCCCTCTTTTTTTTTGTCTTTATTTGTAGTTACGAACGTCCCAAAGCCTCTGTTCGGGCCGCCGGTTCCCCTCTCCCTTCCCCTGCGGTGGGACCGGTGCCTCGGTACCGGGGAGCCGCGGGAGGCGGAGCCGTCAGTGACGGGGGAGCTCGGTCCCCACCGCGGTCCTTGGGGAGAGGCGGAGAGGCAAAGACCCCCCCGAGAGAGCCGGTCCCTGCCCGAGCTCCGGGCGGGGGACACACGGGGATGGGGGCAGGTCTCCGGCTCTCCGTCCTGCCAGACCTGTCCTTGCTTCTTGCGTTCTTTATATATATACTTATAAAAAGGAGGGGGGAGAGGTCTCATTTATATATATATATATATGTATACTGCGGGGTGAGCGGGAGTCTGTCGCTTGCCCGCTGCCCCAGAGGCGGGGTGGCCCCCTCCAGCCCGGTTGGGTGCCGGTGGGGCTGCCCGGGCGGCCGGGGCTCACCGGGGCTGCGCGGCCCGGGGCAGGACGCCGGGCAGCGGGGGCAGGGGCGGCGGGGGCTCGCTGCCGCCCTGCAGTCCGTGGATGAGGATGCGGGGCACCAAGGGTCTCTGTAGGGCAGGGGGCGGCGCGCTGGGTCCGCGGTACAGGTAGAGAGCGGCGCTGGGGTCCAGGTTGGAGACCAGGCTCTGTGGGTAGAAGTAGGGCGAGGGGAACATCCTCTGGAGAGCAGAGTAGTTGCCAGCCTCGGCCAGCAGCTCCAGGCCCACCGCCGTCTGCCTTTTCCACTTGGTCCTGGGCGGGGAACAAATCGAGAGAAAGGGTCAAGAAGGATGCTCCAAAAGCCGCTCTTTTTACCCTTTGCAGACCCCCTTTCCTTGTGCATCCCTCTCCCCGCCGCTGGTTCCCGGGGCCAGTCCCCCTGGACGGCAGGGATGGGATGCAATTGGATGCGATGGGTGGGACCAGTTCACTGTGGGGGGGGACATAGCCCCTGTTAACGGAGCGAGGGGCTCCTCTCGCTGCTGTCCCCGCCGCGCCAGCCCGGCGTGAGCGCCCAAAGAGCCTCCGGAGGCACCGGAGCCGCAGCCCGATGGGGACGCGATGTCGGGGTGTAACCCCCTGCGATACAAACCGCGAGCAGCATTTGGGTCCCTGCCGGGGCTGTGAATTCCAGGTTACGAGTTACGGACCGCGTGTGGCCCGCGGGATCCCCCAGCGGTGCCCCCGCCGCCGGGCACGGGTGATGCTGCTGCTGCTGCCGCGATGCTCCGGCCCGAGGCCCCGGCAGCTCCGCTCCGCCGCCCGGGGCTCCGGGACCGCCGACCCGGGACGGGGCTACCGGGGCCGGGCCTGGAGGCTGCGGGAGGCCGGCGGGGGACACGCGTAGGGCAGTGTGGCGGGGTATTCGTTTGTGCCATGTATATGTATATGTATATGTATATGTATATGTATATGTATATGTATATGTATGATGTGTCTGTAGGTACATATACACGAACCCCCAACGTGTTGCTAAGTCGCGGATCTTTGCTGGTGGTGAAGGGGGCTGGAAATGGGGGGGAGAGGTTTGGGGTGTGCTAAAACCCGGGGTGAGGGAGGGTCCGGCAGGGAGGAGTGGTGCAGCCGAGGGTCCCTCGTTTCTCGGAGGTGGCAGTGATGGGGCTGGGGATGTCCGGATAAATCCACCGAAGCCGTCCCTCACCTCCAGCCTTTCCACAGATTTTGCGCTGAAGCGCTAAACCTATTTCCACCCGTAAATTGTTCATCATAATAATAATTGCGTAATTACTGTAAAGGGTGTTAATTATTGATGCCCAAAGCAGTAATTGGTATCTATAATTAATAGGCCGATGTGTTATGCTGTTGTGTTTAGCTGGGAAGCCCGGTTCTGCCTCCCCGCCTTGTCGGGGCTGGGGGCACGGATTGTACCCCCAAACCTGCCCCTCCTCGGCATCGATTTCCTCTTTGTTTTGGGATAAAAGGCCCCCGGGGGGAGGACGACACACCGCACCTCTGCTGGTGCCAGGAGAGACGTCCCGCCGGGTGGCTGCGGGTTGCCCTGCCTGGTTTAGAGGTGTGGGGCCGGGAAAGGGGATCAGGATGTGACCCCATCTCTGTGAGCAGGAGGGAACGGTGCTTTATTACCTTCTGTTCTGGTACCAGGTTTTCACCTGCGTGTCGGTGAGGTTGAGGGAGGCGGCCAGCTCCATCCTGTCCTGCACGCTCAGGTACTTCTGCCGCTCGAAGCTGCGCTCCAGCTGGGCCAGCTGATGGTCGGTGAAGGCGGTGCGGGCTTTGCGCGGCTTTTTCAGCCGCACCGGGGGGCTGTCCCGGGAGCTGGAGATCTCTCGGTCCCCTTCTTCTTTCACTGAGCCGAGGGGGAGGAAGAGAGGCCAGGTCAGGGCAGGAAGGGAAGAGAAACACCCTCAAAAGAGGGGGTCCCCACTGCAGCCCTGAGGCGGAGGAGCCGGGATCAGGCCACGTTTGTAAATGTTAATCCCGGCTGCCCACGGGGTTCCCCAGCCGGGACCGACTTATCCCCGTCCCAAGGACCCGGGTGATGGGGGGAGCCCCGGCCCGGCCGCGCTCCTACCCGGGGCCCTGCGCCTCACGTTTCCCACGGGGCAGCACCCTCGGGGTGTACCCCCAAACCCAACAGCTTTCTCGATGCTTGGGTGTTATTGTTGTATTTTGTTGTCCTTTCCCTTCTCTCTCTCTTTTTTTTTTTTTGTTTCTTTTTTTACTCAATTTTTTTCCCCTTTTATTATTTTTTTTTCATACCCAAACCAAACGCAACCCAAAATGAAAATCAGGAGCCCCCATTTTTGGAGGGGAAGCCGCTCCTTGCCCTCTGCTGAGGAACCCCGGGGGATGTTGCCGGGGCCCGGAGCAAACCTCCCTTCTCCCTAGCGCACAACGAAATACGGGGGAAGAGGCTCCGCAAGCCTGCGGCCGGGCTGTTATTTACCTTTAAACCCGCGGATTGAGGCGGGCTGGCTGCCGTTCGTTACCGCGGTCGGTGCATGGGCACCGGCGGAGCGGTGCGGGAATTTACGCGGCGAAACGTTAAGTGAGGGAAGGGGATATTTCCGAGCAGAAACAAAAAGATTGGGCAAAAATAAAGCCCCGTTCGTGCTCGCCTTGCCCGCGCTCTTGGAGGAGAGGATGGAGCGAACGGGCTCGGGTTGTACAAATCGGCAGCGGTTGGGGTTTTTACAGGGTTTATGTTAAATTCGCTGGTGGCGGGGCCGGGCTGATTTCTCTCTGTAGGAAGACAATAATCCGGTTAATTGAGCCACCGGGGAGCGGAACCCTTCAACCAGAACTGCCGAGCGGGCACGGCTCGGGATGAGCGCGGAGACCGGCTCCGGTTCCCGGGGAAAGCAGCATCCGGGCCGGACCGGGCCGGGCCGGGCGGGGGGTCCCGGTCCTGCTCCCCCCCCCCCCCCCCCGGGAAAGGCCCGAAAGTTTGTGCGGAGTTTGCCGCGGAGGAAAGCGGGGCCCGGCTCCCCGGGCTACCCCTGGGCTCCGAAAACTTCCTGCCTGCGAAGGGCTGAGCTCTGTGGCGGCCCCGCATCTTCCTCCCCTGCTCCTGGCTAAAACGATGATTTTACATATAATTATATATATATTACTTTATGGCTTTGCGTTTTGGCACGAGTCAAATCCTGCCGCTGCCGCCGCGGGTTAGGCCCAGCCCCGCAGCCCCTTTGCAGAGTAAATCGGGGGCGATTTGCCCCCAGAAACAGGGATTTCCAAAGCAGCAAAAAAAATAAAGGATCGTGCTGGAGCGGGGACCTTCACCGGCTGCCCCACTAAGGGCTGGTTTTACCCTCGTCTACGAGGTGGTTTTACCCTCATTTAAACTGTGGTTTCCTCCACATTTAAGATGTTGTTTTGCCCCATTTAAAGTGTGTTGTTTCACCCCCCCCCATTTAAAGGTGTGGTTTTTTTCTCACCATGTAAGGGATGTTTTTCCCTTGTTTTAAGCGGTGTTTCTCCCCATTTAAGGGGCATTTCCCCCCCATTTTAACTGTGTTTCCCCCCTATTTAAGGCATGTTGTTTCCCCCCCCATATAAGGGATGTTTTTTCCCCATTTAAGCGGTCTTTTCACCGGGGCCGTGGCTGCCCCGTCACAGGGGCAGGAGAAGAGCCGAGAGGTAACGGTCCCCCTCTCAAACTGGACCCCCCCAGCCTGGGCTCTGCCGGCTCAGGGAGACGCGGGGACCCCGCGGTTCTTCTCTTCCCTCTCTTCCTTCTCCTCTCGGCGATTTTGGGGAAGGAGAGGAAAGATGAAGGAATTCGGGGAGGGGGGGATGTAGGAGGCGAAAACAACGGCCAAGATGGGAACCGCGGCTGTTCTCAACCGTGGCCCTGCAAAGCGGCGGGTCCGATCCCAGGCTCGGCCTATCCTGCCAATTTCCTATCAGCATCCCGCAAATCCAGCGGTCCCGCACGGTGCCATCACCTCCCCTGTCTGCCCCCGATGGGGACCCGCTCCTTCCCCTCCCAAGCACTCAGGAAACTCTTTTCCCGGGTGAAAGTTTCTGCAGGGGTGTTGGGGGAGCGAGGACCGACCCCAACCCACCCCGTGCCGTTCCCGTGCCCTGGAAGGGGCCGCAAGGGCCCGGGAAGCCCGAGCCCCCGGTCCGGGGCGAGCAGCCGCGGTGGATGCGGCCCGGGGTTCCCTGTCTGTCGTGCTCGGTTTTAAACCATCTCAGAATAATAATGTAAATAACACAAATCGAATCAACCCCCGCCGAATTTCTTCTTCGTTTCTCCTCGAGCGGGAAATACCAGGAAAACCCGCGATTATTTTATTGTTGTTTTCTTTTCCCTGCTTTTTTTTTTTTTTCCCATCAGAATTCCGTCCCCGCTTCTCCTCTTTGCCCGCGAGAAGGAATGGAACAGCCGGATCTTCCCTGCGGAAAGCCGCCCGGCGCATCCTCCGGGCGCGTTTACCCAAGTGCCGATCGCCCCAGCCCCTTCCACCGGCTCAAGCCCCGCCGAGCCCCCCAAGTTTTCCCAAGTTGGTGCCGACACCGCGGTCTTTTCGGAGACGACCGGTGCCGCCGTTCCTCATCACCGGGGCGGCTCCGCAGTGAGCTCCCGGCGCACCGGGAAGCTCTGGTGCCGCCGGAGGCTTCGTGTAGAGGCGGCCGTGCAGAGCCCGGCGGAGAGCGCGGCTCTTACCTTTGTACTCTGAGTCCGAGGAGGAGCTGCTGGTGTTTTTCTCCATCTTCTCCCGAAAGTCCTCGCCGGGCTTGGTGGGGATCCTGCCCGCCGGCTCCTGCCCGCCGTGAGGTCCATTCGTGCTGGAGTAAGGAGCGCAGGCGGCCAGGGGCTTGCAGTCGGCCAGGATGTCTCGGATGAGGAAGGAGGAGGTGACGGTCCGGGACTGGGAGGGGGCCGAGACCTGCCCCGGCTGGAGGAGCGCATCCAGGCCCTGCCGCGGCACCGCCGCCTCCAGGCACTCGCGGCCCGGCGAGCGGGGCGAGGGGCACCCGCTGCTGCCCTCCGAGCGGGGGCTCAGCTCTAGCGGGGACCGGCCGTCGCCCACCAGCGGGTCCCCCTTGGGCACGGCCGGGCTGCTGGCTCGGTGGGAGAGGATGGAATCGATCCCAAACCCGGTGGAGCCCTCCATGGCCCCCGCGAGCTGCCGGCGCTCACACGGGCATTGGCAGGGAGGGTGCGGCGGAAGCGGTTTGGTAACGATAGTTAACAATAACAGGAGGGAAAACGAAAAATTGAAAAAAAAAATTGAAAAAAGGAGAAAAAATTTTAAAAAGGGTAAAAAGAAAACGAAAGCGCAAAGTTCAGCCTGGGATCCGGGCCACAATTGCTGCAAGGCTCTCCGAGGCGCCGCGCGTTAGATCCAGGGCTGCTCCGTCTTCAGCATCGCGCCCAGCTGCACTCACAGACAGACAGAAGAAGGGGGGAGAGGAAGGCAGAGTCAAACTTTGGCCGCGAAGGGGGTGGGGTGAGAGGGGACGGACCCCAGCCTCACCCGGGGCCCCGGCCCCTTACCCGGCCACCCCACCCTCGCCCGGGGCCGCGGTGGCGCGGGCCTGGGGGGCAGCCTGGGGGGCTCCCAGCCGGAGGTGGGGAGGCAGCGATCGATAGTGATGCTTCGCAGCGCCTTAACCGCTTAATGATCCAGAAATCGATGGGGAAGGGCGAGGGGAGGGCGGAGGGGGTGGCCAGCCGTCGGGCCGCCGCGGCGCCCCCCTTCCCACCAGCACCTCGGACAGCACCCGGCGGGGGGGGGGAACCGGAGTCACCGCGGGGCCGGCGGAGCCATCAGCACCTCGGACAGCGGCAGGAACCGCGCTCGGGGGGGGGGGCTCAAGGGGAGGAACCCCCAAGCGCTTTGCCCCCTTAGCGGGGGGACCCCGGCCCCCCCGGGAAGAACGCGCCCATTGGCCGCCGGGTGTTTGGGGGTGTCACTCCCCGGCGGCGACACCTTGTAGGTTCATTAACGGGAATTAATTGCTGCCCTGGTCCCCCCCGCTTTCCGGGCGGTTTCCGCCCTCTTTGGCTGTCATTATTCCGCTGATGGGGCTCGTAATGGGATGATTAGCTGCGGGGGGATTCCAGGGGGGGAGATGTGGGGTAGAGAAGGGGAGGCTGTCAAAGGGTTACTGCGCTCTGCTCGCCGCCCTCCCTCCCCCCCCCCCGCAGTTAACCGGGCTGAGGGTCCCTCCCGGGCAGGGAAAGTTTTTCTGGGCCTTAAAATAAAATTTAAAAATTAAATAAAAAAGAATTAAAAGAAATAAAGAAAAGGGAAAGCACCGAACCCCCCCCCCCCCCCCCCCCCCCCCCCCCCAGAGCCCAGCGCAGAGGCGGCTGCTCCCAGCCCGCGGTGAGCCTCGGAGCTGCGAATTTCGTTGAATCCCCTCAAAACCCGTTGCGAGGAAGCAGGATGCTCCTCGAGCGCGGGCAGCCGGGGACCGGGCATCGCCTCCCGGAGCCGGGGCCGCTCCTCCCGCCCTCCCAGCGCCCAGCGGCGGTGCCTACCGGTGCAACTGGGAAGGGACCGTGCTCGGGGCGCATTTTTCCTGACGTCCATCCCGTTTTAAATAACCCTCGGTGTGCCCAGCCCGTTCCCTGCCCGTTTCTCCCGGAGACACCAAGTTTCCTCCCTCCCGCCACGTCGCGGGGTTTTGTTGCTGTTGGATTCCCCGTCCGGACTCCCACCTTCTCCCGGTCACAGCGGCTCCTGCTTCCTCCTCGCGGGCTCATTTAGGGGCTTTTCCTGCGGGTAGACCCTTCCCGTGGAGACGAGTAAAATGTCCACGCCCGGGTGCGTGGAGCCGCGCCGCTCGAAAGCGGTGTCGCCGGTTACATCTCAAAGACTCGATTTCCTCTGTTCCCCACCTTCCCGGCCAGGCAGATGCATCTTGTCCCTCTTCCAAAGCCGCCCTTGCCCGGCAGCTTGGAGGCGATCAAGAAGGGGAGAGCCTCCCCCCGCCCCGGGAAGCCCGGCTGCCAGCTGTCGGGCAGCGGCGCAGGCAGGGCCCCAGCACCTCCTTGCCCTCGGCCCTGCAGGCTCGGGGCCGGCTGGGATCGGGGCAGAGGAACAAAAGAGCCTTGCAGGAGGATAAGCCCAGGGACAAAATCGGCACCGCCCGGTGCCGGTCTATGCCCCCTGCCCGGGGTCCCGCTGCTGCTCGGCCCCGTCTTTCTCCCCCTGGCACGGCGGTGCCAGGGACCGGGCTGAAGGGTTCTGAGCTGCCGGGGAGCGGTTTTGCAGCATCCGCTGGGCAGGACCAAAGCGATGGGTGTGCAGGAACGGCTCCCAGGGAGAAGGGGCTGAGACCCCAAAGGGGTTTCCCACCTCTTTGCAGTGCAACTGTGTTGGCACTGGCTGCCTCCCTGTGCAACCAATAGACCCATTTGGGACGGAGATTGGCACTGGGATCAGGACCAGCACTGAGTCTGTGTTAAGGATGGGACCAGAGGCAGCAGCAGGGCTGGGAGTGGGTTTGGAATCAGGATTTGGATCAGCCATGCAGAGACAGGGCTGGGCTGGTGGGTCTGCTGCTGTATTTCCTTCCCTTGAATAAAGCACCTGCCTTCACAAGAAAGTTTCCAGATCAGGCCCACTGTCTGGTGCTGGGCAAGGTTTTGGTGTGTGTGGGGGGTCCAGTCCTCATCCCTGAGTGGACACTGTATTATGCCACCCTTGGCCAAGGCCCTGGGGACAGAGACTGTCACCCCTAGGCCATACTTGGAGCTACACATGCACTTTTTTTCTCATGTTCTAATGGCAGTGGGACTGACATGAATTAATATGAATTATTATTGTTATTGTTATTATTATTAAGGTGGTTTCGTTTTTGTTTCTGTTTTTTTTTCTCTCAAAACTAGATTCCCCAAGGCAGAGACGTGCCTCATCCTGCCCATATGTGGTGTGTCCCCTGCATCACTTGATAAGTGGGCTTCAAATGATCTGTCTGTGGCTCCCAGCACAGATAGGAAATCCCGTGTACAGACCACTGAACAGTGTACACTGCTTCCCCTGCCTTCCCTGTGTGTGTCTGCCTTTAAACCCCATTTTCTAGACTGTTCCAGTTCCCAAATACACAGGCATGGAACAGACAAGAGGGGATCCCTGGTGTCAGTTTGGTTTCCAGTTCCTCACAAGCCCCAGTTGCACCCCAGGTTGGCTTTAGGACTCTGGCAGCTTTGCCAGGATCCGGTGCTGTGGACGGACACGGTCAGGCTCTCCTGGCACAGTCACCAGTGCAGGTTTGGTCCTGGGGCTACAGAACAGGGCTGACCCCAAGTGTTCCAGGAGGGGTCTGGGGTGCAGGGGGAGCCCTGATGGGGCTGGGGGCTGGACCATGGTCTGGAGGGCAATGGGCTGCCGAGCTGTGGCCGTGACCGCATCAAGAGTTAGTCCAGAAGCATCTGCTGGTGGTGCAGAGCGGCATCCGGAAGGGTCTGGCTGAGGGAGGAAACTCCCGGGGGGCTCTGCTCTACTGAATCTCAATCGGGAGCCAAGCTGGGTGCTCGCAGAGGCCGTGCCCAGGCGGGCACAGGGAGGGATGCTCAGAGGGGACGGGCTTCGCTGGGATGCTCCGGTGAGGAAGCGATGGTGCCTTCGGGAGACAGCGGAGGGCAGAGCGGCTCGGGGTGTGGGGGGACGATAGAAAGGGGGGGGGAACAGCGGGGGTCTCAGTGCCGGTGAGGAGCAGGGCCCGGCGGTGGGGAGCCTGCAGCAGCGCTGAGATCCCCTCTGCCGGTGGGTGTCACTGCAGGACAAGGAGCCGCCGGAGCTCGGGACCGGGCATGGCTGGGGCAGGGTGAGGGGGGGCCCGCTTGGGGCGGCTCTGTCAGCTCCGAGCCCCCCCCCGAGCCGCTTCTCCTCCTGAACGCGCTTTGTTTGGCTCTGCCGCTGCTTTTCGGGTTCTGGTGTCTTTGCTGGCTTGGAGCTGTCCCAGGCCAGGAGGTCTCCATGGGCCTGGTTCACAGCAGGTTCCTTGGGCAGCCCTTTTCCAGGGGTGCAGGACTCCCCGGGGGTTCTTTCATCCCTCTGTGAACCCCAAGGACCTGAGCAGTTTGTACAGGTGGGCACAGATGCTGTGGCTGGAGGAAGGGCTGGAGGTGGCTCCTGGTGGGCAGTGGGGCAAGGCTCGGGCTGTGTTTCTCACACATGCATTAACTGTGCCATCTTTGGCAGGACAAGTCATTTAAGGCCCAGCTCCCCTTCCCTGGGGAGTGGGAAAGGTGTCCAGTTATAATCCAACCGTGCCAGCCCAGCAAACCCTACTGTCATCCTCCTGGTTACGTTAGCTGGGTTCTATTTAGAGGCCTGCACTATATAGAAGGACCCAGGTACCAGGGTTTCCCCTGTGTGGAGCAGGTGATTCCTTTCTCCCTCAGCTCAGGTGTGGGCAGGGTAGAGTTTGCTCCAACTACTTCCCTGTATAAAAAGCAGATTGAGGCAGGAGCTGCCCCTAAGGGAGCATGGGAAATGCCAGAGCAGTGGCTGTGGAGCCTTCCTTGTCCTGAAAGAGGTAAGGAAAGCTGCCCTTGCAGCTCCATTTGTTATTGTGCCTTGAACAATGAAGTTTAATGTTATGACGTGTTCTGCTTTTTGAGGTTTGGGTTTAAAAGTTTGGCTCCAAGTGCTAACAGGCTGTTGAACGTGAAACCTGAAAGCTACCATTTGACTTAAATATTATGTGGTACAGCCTGAGCTATAGCAATAGATGCGAGGAGCAGATTCCATAGGAGTAACTAATTATTCCTTGAGCAATCTTGGAGATGCACAGTTAATCACAGTTGTTGCCAAGTGACCTTTTCTTAAGGTGAAATGCCCTGTTGGTAGGAGATGGGTTTTACACGTGTTGGCACCGAGCTGGGTTTTGGGTGCAGTGCTGCTGAGTTGGTGTTGGAGGAGTTTGTGTTTGTGCACCAAGTGCTTGAAGTGGCTCGGCCCTGAGGGACACCAGCAGCTATTTGAGGGTAGGCGTGGAAACAGGCTGGAGCCGTCCTCAAGAGGAGGCATGGCTCTGTGGTGAGGCCTTGCTTTGGCAGAGTGCTCAAAGCAGATGTTTAGATGCCTTCACAAAGGCTTTGCTGAATTAGGCAGTGATGGGAAGCTTATTTGGCACAGAAATGAGAAGAACTGATGGATTATGAGATATTATGGACTTGATATCAGTTGGGATATGGTTGCATTTAATGTAATTGTGCAGAATGAACAGCTTTCCCTCTGAGGCTGTGCTGGTGTGAGGGCTGTGACTTTGAGCATGATGGGAATTGTGCTGATCAGACTGAGTAAAGGTGTTGTGTGACTGATACAAAGCAATGAACAGGCTGAGGCAGAATCATTCCCTTTCAAATATATGATTTATTTGGCTATTATCTACATTAGCACACTTTCAAAGACAGAAAGCCTATTGCCTATGGTGGTCACAGGGTCCAAGGGCTGTGATGCCCACCACAGTTCTGTGTGGCTCTTTTGGGGCCCGTGTCCCACAGACACCCCTCAATGGGTGGCACTGAATGCCTTTTGATGAGCCTGATGGTCTGGAAGAGTACTGAGGTGAGGCTTGACCTGTAAGAGAAGGAGCAGATACACAAGTGGTTACAGTGAGCAGCCAGCCAGAGAAAACAGGTTGTGGCACAAGCAGCAAGAGGACTGGATTAAGCTCAAGGGTTTTGCCTGTTTGGGAGGTGCTGCTCCAGCTGAAGTTAAACACAGCCTGTTTGAAAAGAGGGCTATTTTTCTGATTGACTTCAGGAGATGCTTGTTCTGCCCTAGTAACAAGATCCTGCAGCCTCACTGTGCTGTGTTGGTTGTGTGATGTTTCCAAATGCTCTCACACCTTAGGGTGGACCCTGAAATAAATATGGCTGGTTTTCTACAACAGGGGACTTGTGTGCTTCACTGGGGGGCCAGGATGGGTCCAGGGACTCTTGCATGACCTGGCCAACAAACACAGAAGCAGCCTTTCCCCAGGAATCGCCTTTGGTGTGGTGGTGATGGGTGACCAAATCCCAAGACAAAGAAAGGGGAAGTCATCTGATTGACTTCAGGAGATGCTTATTCTGCCCTAGTAACAAGATCCTGCAGTCTTACTGTGCTGTGTTGGTTGTG